CGAGTTCACTCACTTGGTGAGCAGTTATTAAGGACTGACTGTGTATAAATCAGGATCATAAAGACACCCAGGCAGAGATGGAGTCTGGTGTTCATGGATATGTGTGTGTGCGGTGTGGGGGCCGCAGAGCCTTTGTCTCCCTGCAGCTCTGGTGGCGGTGGTGCCAGGCATGGGGTTGCTGGGTCAGCCTCCTGCTAATACCCGCTGCTCTGAGCTGTGTTCCATGCGGCAGCTGGGGGTTCCCCAAAACCAGACCTGTCACTTTTGTGCTGGGCTCCCACAGCCTCCATACAGCCGAGCTCTGTTCCTGGCTTGTGGGCCCACCCTCGTCCTCACCCAGGCCTCTCTGCCTCCACGGATGACCCCCAGGTTCTTTAGACCAGCCTCATCCCTTGCTCCTCTCCAGCTCGGCTCGGTTGCTTTTGCTCCCAGAATGCCCTCCTGCTTCAGCCTCCCTGGCTCCCACCTCCCTCTCCACTCCCAAGGCACCTCCTCCAAGCCCTCTTGCATCACATCTTGCTGACATCCAAGTGTGGTGCGGTGCCATCTTCTCGAGAGGTCACAAGCCCAAGGCCACAGGCTGCTTCCCGCTTACGGGGCCACAGCTGGGATCACAGCATCTGCTCTAGGCTCAGGTACACAAAGAAGAGCGCGTAGCAGGTGTCCCTGCCCCTGATGCCCACCAGCAGCTGAGGCCCATGAGCCGTGGGGGCATCCCCTCCCTCCACGGGGGCCTGGAACTGTGGTTTATGAGGAACCAAGCTGCTCCACCTTGGACAAACTGATGCTCGGCCATCCCTGTGCAAAGGGCACTCCGGGAGCCCGAGAGCACGCTGCTGCCAGTCCTAACACCACCAGGATCTCCACACACACCAGACACGACTTCAACCCCACCGACTCGAGAAAGTGTTCTGTATAATCACACCCATCTCCCTGCATCTCAAGGGGCCTGTTTGCTCTGGGCACAGGACTCCAGATGAATGAGTCATGTTACATGTTTCTGGGGTGGACACGTGATCCAACAGGGTTAGTTTGAGACGTCCAGATTGATTCTTACTGCCCAGGCACAGTGGCTCACGCCCGTATCCTAGCACCTTGGGAGGCTGAGGCGGGTGGATCACTTGAGGTCAGGAGTTCACGACCAGCCTGGCCAACATGGTGAAACCCATCTCTACTAAAAATACAAAAAAATTAGGTGGATGTGGTGGTCCATACCTGTGATCCCAGCTACTCGGGAGGCTGAGGCAGGAGAACTGCTTGAGCCGAGGAGGTGGAGGCTGCAGTGAGCTGAGATTGGCCCACTGCACTCCAGCCCAGGTGACAGAGCAAGACTCTGTCTCAAAATAAAATATGTCCCTGTCATCCAGAATTACACATATCTTTGGGTCAAAATAAGGAAGAGAAGACACTGACTCAAGAGCGAGGACGGCCAGGTGGACTCTGCAGGCACGGAGGCCCAGGGGCTGTGCTTACCTGCTCTCGCAGTACGGCCCGTAGTGGCTGGGCCCACAGTCGCACACGTAGCCCCGTGGGGAGCCAGGGGAGCGCACGCAGGCCGCCATGTTCTCACAGGGGTTCAGGTGACAGGCGTCCACACAGTCTCTCCCAAGGTACCCTGCAAGGACAGAGCCAGCATTATCTCCACCCAGAATCCACGAGACCTTATAATGTTAAAATATCTGGAGCAACCTGTCCCCTGTACTCAGCACAGGGAGAGGACAGGTGATGCAGGGTCCCAGAAAACACAGATGAGGCAGGTTAGACTTGGCAATGCAGAGAGGAAGGCATTTGGGGCTGCCCCGAGGAGGGTTAGTGCCTTGGGACATGGGCTGAGGCTGCCCCAGGACACATGAGGAACGGCCATCAGCAGAGGATGACTTCAGTACCTCAAAATTCAGAGGCTACTCTGAATGTAGATTTTTTTTTTTTTTTTTTTTTGAGATGGAGTCTCTCTCTGTCACCCAGAACGGAGTGCAGTGGTGTGATCTCATCTCACTGCAACCTCCACCTCCCACGTTAAAACAATTCTCCTGCCTCAGCCTCCCGAGTAGCTGAAATTACAGGCTCACACCACGCCTGGCTAATTTTTTTTTTGTATTTTTAGTAGAGATGGGGTTTCTCCATGTTAGCCAGGCTGGTCTCGAACTCCTGACATCAGGCAATCTGCCCGCCTCAGCCCAAAGTGCTGGGATTACAGGCATGAGCCACTGTGCCCAGCCACGATTTTTTTTTTTTTTTTTTGAGATGGAGTTTCGCTTGTTACCCAGGCTGGAGTGCAATGGTGCGATCTTGGCTCACCGCAACCTCCGCCTCCTGGGTTCAGGCAATTCTCCTGCCTCAGCCTCCTGAGTAGCTGGGATTACAGGCACGCGCCACCATGCCCAGCTAATTTTTTGTATTTTTAGTAGAGATGGGGTTTCACCATATTGACCAGGATGGTCTCGATCTCTTGACCTCGTGATCCACCCACCTCGGCCTCCCAAAGTGCTGGAATTACAGGCGTGAGCCACCACGCCCGGCCAATTTTTTTTTTAATGTATACTTTTCACTAGGCTTTTTTGTTTGTTTGTTTGTTTTTGGAGAGAGTCTTGCTCTGTTGCCCAGGCTGAAGTGCAGTGGCGTGATCTCAGCTGACTGCGACTTTGCTTCCCAGGCTCCAGTGATCTTCCCACCTCAGCCTCCCATGTAGCTGGGACCACAGGTGCATGCCACCACACCTGGCTAATTTTTGTATTTTTTTGGTAGAGACAGGGTTTCACCATGTTGCCTGGCTGGTCTCGAACTTCTGGCCTCAAGTGATCCACCCGCCTCTGACTCCCAAAGTGCTGGGATTACAGGCGTGAGCCACTGCGCCCGGTTGATCACCTCATGTGCTGAGGAGAGGGCCTAGATCACTCCCTGTGCCTCCAGTAAGGAAGAGGCTGAGTCTCTCTCCAGGAGGGGCCCACTTGTTATAAAATAAAGCTCAGCACTCCACAGAACCACAGGGAATCAGCTGGGGACACCAATGTCCAAACTGAGCCCCGTCCTGTGTTTCAGCCTTGAGAGGAGTCCCTGTCACTGAAGGTCCCACCTGTCACAGACACAGCTGTAGTCCTCCCAGGCATTGTGGCAGTGGCTGTGGGGGGGACAGGGGCTCGAGGTACAAGGGTCCTCCACATCACAGCCGTCCTTCACCCTGAACTTGAGGGCGTTGTTCATGTTCAGGGTGGCCACATTGGTGGGCGTCCCCCCCATCCTCACTCCCTGCATCAAGGAAAGGGCGTTGGGAAGGGAGAAGCCCAGAAAGGTGAGGAGGGGCTAAGGGAACTCAGAGGTCTCTCTGGTCACTTGTAAGGCATTCATTGGAGACACCTCATTTATCTACAGAGCTGGGACGGGCAGGGTTGTTCCTTTCACTCCTGGTAGGCGGAGTGCAGTGCAGAGCTGGGCAAGGAGCTCAGAGGGCATGCTGGCCAGATCTCCTGGGGTGTGCAGTTGGGGTGTGAGGAGTAGATGTCCCTGATGAGGGGGCTGAGAGCTGAGTGACTCTCAGAGCAGCTCCTCTGGCTGGAGCTGGAGCACCTGGCTCCATGGCATAGGCATGGGGGCCACTTGGGTGCCATGTGGGGTTGAACTGGGTGGGCTCGATTCAGGACACTTTGTGAAGGCAGAGGGGCAGGTGACTAACATGGCATGGCAGTGAGGAGCTGTGGGGGCCAGGGACACCCCGATGCCAAGGGGAACCACAGGGGGATGGGTCTAAAGAGGAAACAGGGGCTGTTAAAGTGGGGGTGCCAATCAGACACATTGTCTGCTCACTGAAAGCTAACAGGTTGACTGACGGCACCAACTGCAGGGCTGGCAGCCTCCGAGCCGCCTGTGAGGGGCAGCCCCCGCCGCTCCCACGTACCTGCATGCAGCCTCGGAACCCATGGCACACAGACACCTTGTCTTCAGAGGCGCCCCCAACCACCATGCTGCTTATCGTCAGCCCGGGAAGCATGCCCCTGATATCTGCCCTGTTCTGTGTGGAGAGAGCGGGCAGAGCTCTGGGGGCTGCGTCCACCATCCTAGAAACATCTTCCAGCTGGGAAACCACGTGGGAAGCCTAAAACAGTGGCTTCAACAAACTCCCCAGAGCCTGAGGACATCCGGGCCTCCAGAGAGAGAGCTGGGCCCAGCTGGACAGCATGGCTGGCTGTGACAACCAGGGCGAGGGGACTAGGCCAGAGGATGGCGTCCAGGTCCCAGCCCAGCTGAGGTGGCCGGTGGGGGAAAGTGCGTAACTCTCCTGCCTCCGTGAAGGGCACAACCCTAAACCAGCCAGGCTGGAGCATCAGGAAGACTGCGGGGGCGGAAATCCATTCACCCATGAATACTGTGGGAACCCAAGAGTGTCTCGGCTGAGCTCCTGTCCCAGTAAGGCAGGTGCCTGGAACACACCCATTTATTCCCAGGTCTGTGTTGTAATGTGAGCCTTGGCTCCAAGAGCTCTTGGAAATCCCAGGGAGCCCTACTCAGGTGTGTGAGCATCTCATAGATAACATCCTGGGTTACCCGCCTGCGAACTGTGGAAACCCAGTCTGGTTCCGTAAGTGTTCTGAACACTGCCTGGGACCACGCCACCTGCCTGCCTGGGACACATGGGGCCCCCTGGTGTCTCCCAGCCCTGTCCAGGACCTGGGCCTTATTGCTCTCCCAGCTTTGCTCCCCATCCATACTCTTGAGGGCACAGACCCTGGCATTTCTCTTTATTTTTTTTTTGAGATGGAATCTCGCTCTGTCGCCCAGGCTGGAGTGCAGTGGTGCAATCTCGGCTCACTGCAACCTCCGCCTTCCAGTTCAAGTGATTCTCCTGCCTCAGCTTCCCGAGTAGCTGGGATTATAGGCACGTAGCCCCACGCCCGGCTAATTTTTGAATTTTTAATAGAAATGGGGTTTTACCACGTTAGGCTGATCTCGAACTCCTGACCTCATGATCTGCCTGCCTAGGCCTCCTGGGCCCTAACATGTTCACCTCAGTACCCTAAAGACACAGTGCTGAGGCTGCAGGCATTGCTCAAGATGGCAAGGCTGAAAGCAACCACGGCTGAGGGCGCCGACAGCACTGTGATGAGAAAGGCAGCTGGAGGAAGCTGCCTGCAGGAGGGCCGCATCTGGGTGGAGGAGGTGAAGATGCCAGTGGCCTCAGCACGGGGCAGAACAGAAGCCCACTGAGGGTCCCAGAAAGTGCCTCCCCACATCCACAAGATCTCTGGCAGGTCCTGGCACATTAAGGGGTCATTCTGTTTTTTCCCGGGCCAGAGGAAGGGTCTGTCCCCAGAGGAGGGCAGGTGCCAGCTCACCTGGTCCATCCCATAGTCCAAGGTCATGGTCACCAGGTGCTTCATTTCACTGTCCTCATTCACGTTCTTCAGCTCGATCAGCAGGTGGTGCCATTCCCCGTTGGTCACCCGCAACCCGGACAGCACCATGGACTCCACGCCGGAGGGCCCGTGGGACACCTCGAACTGGAGGTGGCTGCTGAGGATCTGGAGCAGGAAGAGCCGCACCAAGCGATTGGTACAACAGCAGCGGAAGAGATGACGGGGTGCAGTTGCTTAAACGAGGACACTGTGAAAGTCGCCTTGTGATGCGACACCACATCAAAGACGAGCGCAGTGGCTCACCCCTGTAATCCCAGCACTTGGGGAGGCCGAGGCGGGTGGATCACGAGGTCAAGAGATCGAGACCATCCTGGTCAACATGGCAAAACCCCGTCTCTTCTAAAAATATAAAAAATTAGCTGGGCACGGTGGCGCGTGCCTGTAATCCCAGCTACTCGGGAGGCTGAGGCAGGAGAATTGCCTGAACCCAGGAGGCGGAGGTTGCGGTGAGCCGAGATCGCGCCATTGCACTCCAGCCTGGGTAACAAGAGCGAAACTCTGTCTCAAAAAAAAAAAAAATTAGGCAAAGCTGGCTGGGTGCGGTAGCTCAGGCCTGTAATCCCAGCGCTTTGGGAGGCCGAGGTGGGTGGATCACCTGAGGTCAGGAGTCTGTGACCAGCTTGGCCAACATGGTGAAATCCCATCTTTACTAAAAATACAAATATCAGCCAGGCATGATGGCAGGTACCTCAGAGGCTGAGGCAGAAGAACTGCTTGAACCCGGGAGGTGGTGGAGGTTGCAGTGAGGCGAAATTGCACCATGGCACTCCAGCCTGGGTGACGGAACAAGATTCAGTCTCAAATAAATAAATTAGGCAAATTTGGCTGGGTGTGGTAGCTCAGGCCTGTCATCTCAGCACATTGGGAGGCTGAGGCAGGTGGAATTTGAGACCAGCCTGGCCAACATGGTGAAACCCTGTCTCTACTAAAAATACAAAAATTAGCTGACATGGTGGCAGGTGCCTGTAATCCCAGCTACTTGGAAGGCTAAGGCAGGAGGATCGATTGAACCCAGGAGGCAGAGGTTCTAGTGATCCCCGAGATTACACCACTACACTCCAGCCTGGGCAATAAGAGCAAGACTCTGACTCAAAAAACCAAAAATAATAATTAGGCAAGTTGGCTAGACTTGGTGGCTTACACTTGTAATCTCAGCACTTTGGGAAGCCAAGGCAGGCAATACGTACTGCTCGAGGTCAGGAGTTCGAGAGTAGCCTGGCAAACATGGCAAAACCTCGTGTCGACTAAAAATACAAAAATTAGCTGGGCGCGGTGGCTCAAGCCTGTAATCCCAGCACTTCGAGAGGCCGAGGTGGGTGGATCACAAGGTCAAGAGATCGAGACCATCCTGGTCAACATGGTGAAACCCCGTCTCTACTAAAAATACAAAAAATTAGCTGGGCATGGTGGCCTGTGCCTGTAGTCCCAGCTACTCAGGAGGCTGAGGCAGGAGAATTGCCTGAACCCAGGAGGTGGAGGTTGCGGTGAGCCGAGATCGCGCCATTGCACTCCAGCCTGGGTAATGAGAGTGAAACTCCGTCTCAAAAAAAAAAAAAAAAAATAGCTGGCAAAGTTGTTCCTTGTTCCTGTTGCCATTAACACTCATCGGAACTGCACGTCTCATTCTACGGGAAAAGCATCAATCCCTGCACGGAGGTCAAGCAAGGCAAGGGCCAAGAACAAGACCCGTTAGGCTTGTAAGTTCTGGGAACCAGCTCGATTCAGGTAAGTATTTGGCTCTTATTTTTGGATGTAAATGTTATACTTTATAAGACAAGATTTAATCCTTAATTGCCTACATGAAAAAACAAAACCCAGCATCACAACTGGCCTGATGCTGCTACTTTAAAATAAGGCAGCCAACGGCAGTGTCAGAATCTTAGTTCCCCTAAGGACGGGCTGGGCAATTTGGACCAACTCTCCCTTGAAAACACCTACAAAAATGAGGCAGAATATAAAAGAACATCTGTTTGAAGGCACTGGACTGGTGCAAGGCAAAACAGAGTTTCAACGTCACGACCAAGGATAAGACAGAATCTGCGAAAGAGAGGTGGGTGTTTGTTTCCTCACACGGCTGTCAGCCGGTTCCAGAAGACACAGTGGAGGCTGAGTGTGCAGTCGGGTCATGGCTGCCAGGTACCTGAAGCCCTTGCCCTCCTTGGCACTCTTCAGCCCTGTCAGCAGGTGGTGCCACGCCCCATTCATCATCCCTGACCTGGAGAGTCTCAGGATGCCTCAAAGCTTTCTTGATTCATGAAGCTGGACTGGGCACGGTGGCTCATACCTGTAATCCAAACACTTCAGGAGGCTGAGGTGGGCAGATCACGAGGTCAAGGGATCGAGATCAGCCTGACCAACATGGTGAAACCCCGTCTCTACTAAAAATATAAAAATTAGCTGGACGTGGTGGCAGGCACTTGTAGTCCCAAGCTACTTGGAATCCGAGGCAGGAGAATCGCTTGAACCTGGGAGGTGGAGGTTGCAGTGAGCCAAGATCACGCCACTACACTCTAGCCTGGTGACAGAGTGAGACTCAATCTTTAAAAACAACAACAGCAACAGCTAGGGTTCATGGACTGTCAAGGGGTTGTTCCTCGGCTTTTGCTTGGGACCCTGAGGGGTTTACACTAACAGTAAAAACGAAAAAGATCCACCCTGTAGGACTGGAAGCCCAGCTTTGAAACACCACAGTCTGTGACTGCACCGAAGCCTGTGGCCGCACTGAAGCCTGTGGCTGCATCAAAGTGCTCCGGTATGGCAACTGCTCCTACATAGTGGCTGCCAGCAGAAAACACAGAAGATAATGACATCCCCATTCCAGTCTTTTTCTTTTTTCTCTTTTTTTTGAGATGGAGTTTTGCTCTTGTTGCCCAGGCTCGAGTGCAGTGGCACAATCTCAGCTCACTGTAAACTCTGTCTCCCGGGTTCAAGTGATTCTCCTGCCTCAGCCTCCCAAGTAGCTGGGATTACAGGCACCCACCATGCCTGACCCACCATGCCTGCCTGGCTAATTTTTTGTATTTTTAATAAAGATGGGGTTTCTCCACGTTGGCCAGGCTGGCCTCGAACTCCCGACCTTGGGTGATCTACCCGCCCTTGGCCTTCCAAAGTGCAGGGATTACAGGCATGAGTCACCACACCTGGCCCTCACTCTAGTTTCAAATGCTCTCTAGTTTTTCAATACAATGTCTAGCATTCAATAAAAAATAGCCAAGGCTATGAGGACACAAGGTAGTATGCTTGAAAACCAACAGAAGCAAGGAAGAGTGGCAACAGAACATGGAATCATCAGACACAGGCTAAAAAGTCACACTGGGAACCACAAAATTTTCAAGGAAACAGACTCTGTGTGACCATTAAACTTACTTCTGGGTGTAGGTGTTACAGAGGTAAGGGTCAAACTGTCACGTTTAAATACATGTAAGAAGAATCAGAAAACAAGACTGTAACTAACCCAAGATGCTCATTTGAAAGATAACTTCAATTACAAAGTAGCCTAGACTTTAGAAAAACAACTATTAACACACTGCTTATATTACACCTGAAATATAAGGATACAGAAAATGCTGAAAGTAAAAGGATAGAAAAATACATCATATAAATACCAAACAAAAGAAAACGGGTATCGCTATGTTAACACGAGACAAAGCAGACTTAAGGCAAAAAATCCTTATCAGAGATAAAGAGGACTTTCATAATGTTAACAGGCAGTTTGCTGGGAAGATAAATCAACTCTAACTTTGTACGCACCTAACAACCTGGCCTCGAAATCTATAAAGCCAAAATCAAGATCACCAAGAGAAGTCGCTGATAAATCTGCAGTCAACGTAGGAGGTTTTTAACTTACTTCTCTCAGTGAGAAGACAAAGACGAAAAAAATCACTTAAAACCACTAATGACAGAATATTTGAAAGCCACAGTTAACAAACTTTCCCATTTGCCAGATAGAGAACACTACGTATAACAACTGCAGAGCACAGTGGCACGTGTGCACGTGTACAGAACTGACTAGAGGCTGGGCGCGGTGGCTCACGACTCTAATCCCGGCACTTAGAGAGGATGGATCACCTGAGGGCAGGAGTTCAAGATCAGCCTGGCCTACATAGTGAAACCCCGTCTCTACTAAAAGTACAAACATTAGCTGGATGTGGTGGTGTGTGCCTGTAATCCCAGCTACTCGGGAGGCTGAGGCAAAAGACTCACTAGAACCCAGGAGGTGGAGGCTACAATGAGCTGAGATCGCATCACTGCACTGCAGCCTGAGTGATAGAGTGCGCTTTCATCTCAAAAAAATAAATAAAATAAATATTTAAAAACCCTGACGAGATCTGGGCCGTACAGCAAGTCTCAACACATTTCAAAGCTCTAAACCACACGGTGTATGTTCTCTGACCTGCAATTATGCTATAAACACTACCAAAATGATTTACTAGAAAATGCTACAGGTGCGGAGGCTCACGCCTGAATCCCAGCACTTTTGGAGACCGAGGCGGGCCAATCACTTGAGGTCAGGAGTTGGAGACCAGCCTGGCCAACATGGCAAAACCTCATCTCTTATCAAAATTATAAAAATCAGCCGGGTGTGGTGGCGCACACCTGTAATCCCAGCTACGTGGGAGGCTTAGGGAGGAGAATCGCTTGAACCTGTGAGTCAGAGGTTAGAGCGAGCCAAGATCACACCCCTGCACTTCAGCCTGGGAGACAAAGCAAGGTTCCCTCTCAGAAAAAAAAAAAAAAGGAAAAAGAAAAAAGAAAAAGGAAAGAAAATGCTACATGCTTAACTTAGAAATCTACTTCTAAATGCCACATCAGTCTATGGTAAATTCATAACAGAAAACAGGATACAGGTTTTAGCTGGTTATAAAGCTCATGTAACTAAAACTGTTCTTTGTTTTTTGATCTCTATTGAGAGTTTGAGGGTTTTGTTTTTAAGCTGAAAAAAAAAAACAACCCACAATAATTAGCCAGACACCCTGCTAATGTTTGTATTTTTAGTAGAAATGAGGTTTCTCCATGATGGCCAGGCTGGTCTTGAACTCCCGACCTCAGGTGATCTACCTGCCTTTGCCTCCCAAAGTGGAAGGATTACATGCACGAGCCACTGTACTCAGCCTGATAGTTATTTTAAGATAATTTTTCTCCTTTTTCCATTTTGTTTTCTTTCTTCTTTTTTGAGACAGTTTCACTCTTGTCGCCCAGACTGGAGTACAGTGGTATGACCACAGCTCACTGCAACCTCTGCCTCCCGGGTTCAAGCGATTCTCCTGCCTCAGCCTCCCACGTAGCTGGGCTTACAGGTGTGTGCCACCACACCCGGCTAATTTTTGTATTTTTAGTAGAGACGGGGTTTCCCCATCGTGGCCAGGCTGGTCTCAAACTCCTGACCTCAGGTGATCCGCCCACCTTGGCCTCCCAAAGTGCTGGGATTACAAGCGTGAGCCACTATGCCCAGCCTCCATTTTGCTTTCTTTTGTACTACAGAAGTTAGCTTATTAATTTCCTCTGCCATTCTCTTTCATTGTTCTTGCTTTAAAAACTCCAAAGTGAGCAGATCAGCAATAGAAGTGACATTCTGTCTACAAAAGGTGGCGGTATCCAGAGAATGAAGCCCCGTTTTATGGGTGGTAACTGTATCCAACTTAGGGGTGTCCCCAGATCTCAGTCAGAGAGGCATTCAGCCACCGCAGGGCTATCCCACCTGACAAGGGGGGTGGATTTTGGGTGCCTCAGGGCAATTACCCACATTGCTTGGGCTGTAGGGTGAAAATGGAGCCTTATTTGTTCTCCCATAGTGGCAGGGGCTCGGGGGACATCCTTTCAGGAACACCCAAACTGCTGCCTGACAGAGCTCACAGGCCCGTGGGAGGCTGCCAGCTGGTGATGCAGAGGAGGAATCCCTGAGAACCTCGTGTAACTTGTGGCTGACTTGCCTCTGGGAGCTGCCCTGGGGGCCTTCTGGGTGTCCACTGGGGTCTGTAGCATCCCCTCAAGGCCACCACTCCTACCGCCCAGATTTCCACCAGGAGGGCTGGCTGTAGTCCCTGGCAAAATTCCTAATGTTGAGATGAGCTCTCCATGATGTAATTACGCAAACATCACAGGAGTGGGTGGCTTCCAGCACTGTTCCTACTGAAAGCGCACTTTTTTCCTACAGAGACCCCACAGACAAATGACAACGTGCAAGCTCCAACTCGTCACCTGCACCCAGACAGCCAATTTAATCTGTTCTGACAGTGAAACCACCACACAGCAAATACCATCCCCAGGCAGCAACGCGCTTGCCAAGTTTTGGACTGGAGCGAGCTTCTGGGGCTCCTGGGAGACACACGAAATTACAAGCTTAACAAGGGCCTACAGGCCAGCTGTCATCATCCCCGGGGCACATCACACTTTCCAGGCAATCCCAGCGGTCTGTGTCAGTAAATGTTCCCGAGCTGTGACCGGGTAGGAGCAGGAGGCTCCCTGTGGAGGCCTGAGCCCTGCCCCAGCCCCAAACTGTCTCCTGAGCTCTCACTGACTGCTGAGGGACTGACCTTTACCAGCCGCTGGGAGCACTCTCAGTCCTGTCCCGGCCACGCTCCAACCAGGCACCACAGCAGGGAAGGTGTGTGCTGGCCGCCCCTCTGTCCTCCTGCCAACCCTCATGTCAATTCCGGCTACACAGAACTGTTTCTAGATGGGCGGTCCATAAGAGTGACAGAGAGGGGCCTGTGGCTGCCCCAGAAACCTGGCAGTGAATGAACCATGGGGCCCAGAGAGAAGAGCCTGTACGCCTCAGTTTCCCCTGTGTGGAATGAGAGTCTGGAGCAGGCACTCCGTAAAATCCATCTTGCCTCTGGCCATCTCTGAGTCCAGCCCAGCCTCCCCTGATGGCAGATGGCAATCAGGACACACTGGGCAACATGAGAAGGCCCAGAGCCCAAGGGAGCAAATGCTACAGGGTGTGGTTCTGCACGGCACGCAGCTGACAGCAGAGGACACGCCACTGGCCCAGACCCAGCTCTGGGAGGGACTTCCCAACCACGGGAGCTTGCAGGGGGGTCATTCCGGGAGGACAGGGTGAGTTCCCGTGTGGCCCGCCCAAGGCACGAGAGGAGTGACCTAAGGGCAGCATCTCTGTGTGCTGGAGGGAGGGCGGGACGGGGTCCCAGGCACGCTCTGGTTGGAGATAATGAACAGCCAAAAGGAAGTCAGTGCTGCTCCGAGACCATGTGCACCCAGGTCTCATCACACACATACACATGCATACAGACACAGCCGCGTGCATACAGACACAGCCACATGCATACAGACACAGCCACGTGCATGCATACACAGCCACGTGCATACAGACACAGCCACGTGCATGCATACACAGCCACGTGCATACAGACACAGCCACATGCATACAGACACAGCCACGTGCATACAGACGCAGCCGCGTGCATACAGACACAGCCGCGTGCATACAGACACAGCCACGTGCATGAATACACAGCCACATGCAAATAGACGCAGCCACGTGCATACAGACACAGCCACGTGCATGAATACACAGCCACATGCAAATAGACGCAGCCACGTGCATACAGACACAGCCACGTGCATGAATACACAGCCACATGCAAATAGACGCAGCCACGTGCATACAGACACAGCCACGTGCATGAATACACAGCCACATGCAAATAGACGCAGCCACGTGCATACAGACGCAGCCGCGTGCAGAGACACAGCCGCGTGCATACAGACGCAGCCACGTGCATACATATACAGCCATGTGCATACATACACAGCCATGTGCACAGATACAGCAACAGCCACATACATACAGACACAGTGCATGCATACAGACACAGCCACATACATACATATACAGCCACATGCATACAGACACAGCCACATGCATAGACACAGCCACCTGCATACATATACAGCCACATGCATACATATACAGCTGCATACACATGCAGACAGACACAGCCACATGCAGACATATACAGCCACATGCACACAGACATGTACAAATGTGCACGCATGTAGAGACACACGTGTACACACACCGACAGGTACACACACTTGCGCAAAGATGTGTGGGTGTGCGCACACATGTATACAGACTTGGAAAGAAGTCTAGGAGTTATGCCTGTAATCCCAGCACTTTGGGAGGCTGAGGCAGGTCAATCACCCGAGGTCAGGGGTTCAAGACCAGCCTGGCCAACATGGCGAAACCCTGTCTCTACTAAAAATACAAATAATTAGCTGGGTGTGGTGGCAAGCATGTGTAATCCCAGCTACTCTGGAGGCTGAGACAGGAGAATCGCTTGAACCGAGGAGGTAGTGGTTGCAGTGAGCTGAGGTTGTGCCACTGCACTCCAGCCTGGGCAACAATAGCAAAACTCCATCTCAAAAAAAAGCCCAGGAGGAAGGAAGGCATCACCCTATTCTGGAATCTGGGAATCTGTCAAATCAAGACGAAGCACGCTGCTGCAGCATGACTCCACAGGCCACTCCTGTGCCAAGGGAGGTGAATTTGGTCTAAGGAGAGACATAAAGGATAAAGGGAGCAGAAACTGCGTGTACCGCAAGAAACGAGGAGAGCGCACAGTTGGATCACCTTCTGCAAGTTGTTCGCGGTGTTTACCCAACAAATAAACTTTTGTTTCAAATAAATGAGAGAGACCAACAAGATAGAGAAAACATGCAGGCGGCTGCACAGTGTGGCTTCAGGCACCTCTGGGCAGAGCCACGCTCCCGGAGACAGCTGACCGCACATTGCTGCAACCCGCACCTGGCCCCAGCATTTTTTTTTCTTTTTTGAGACGGTCTCGGTCTTGCTGCCCAGGCTAGACTGCAATGGCACGTTCTCAGCTCGCTGCAGCCGCCACTTCCCTAGTTCAATTGCTTCTCCTGCCTCAGCCTCCTGGGTAACTGGGATGACAGGCGTGAGCCACCACGCCCAGCTAATTTTTTTGTATTTTTAGTAGAGATGGGGTTTCTCCATGCTGGAACTCCTGACCTCAGGCGATCCACTCACCTCAGCCTCCCAAAGTGCTGGGATTACAGGTGTGAGCCACCATGTCCGGCCTGCAGCTAGCCACAGCGTTCACTGGTGAGGCCCGCTGTTTCTGCCCGAAGGCTTAGCACCCCTCTCAGCTCTGCAATGCCCACGCTCCAGCCAAACCCTCAGACTAGAGGGAGACCGGAGCTGCCGTCTAAGATGCACCTCGGCTGAGCTGTGCTGGGCCCTGGGGTCGGCCCGGCCCCATGCTGTCTCACTCCATCTCCACTTCCCAAAGGAAAGAAAGGGCTCATGCTCCCCCTCATCCTCTTCTGAGAAGCCAAAGAGGGGTGGGCACAGGAGGAAGGGCGAGTAGCAAGAGCCTGAGTGTGCACCAGGAAGACCAGTGCCTGGGTCCCTCCCTTGGGCTCCCACCTAGCAGGTGCCCTGGTGCCACGGGGCCCCAGTCACCTGGAGATGACAGCTGGTGGACCTATCACTGGTAGCTTCCATCAGAATGCTGTCGTCCTTCCGGGTCCGGAACATGAGCCCCAGGTACCAGGGCACGGAGATGATGACATTCAGGTTGCTCCAGGACACGACGCTCTCACCACTAAAGAGCTGGGGGTGGGGCATGGCTGCGGACACAGGCCCAGGACCTCAGGTGTGGCCAGAAATCACTTGGGCCACACACTCTTGGCTGCAGGGGCAGGGATGGGCCTGTAGGCTGGGCCTGGGCCTTTTTCACTTAACACCAGGGCTGGTCTGAGCCTCCCCTCTATGGCACATCCTGCCCTCACAGTCAGCCATGGGGGCTCCACAGAAGCCCACCCTGGGATGTGAGCCTCCTTCCTGGGAAGTGTGAAGACCTTCAGGCTCCCAGCCGTCGATGGGCATGGCAAGGGGCTCTCATGCCAGACAGGAGGCAGAGGTGGGGCAGGTTCAGGAGCCCTGGGCTCAGTGGTTGGGGGTTCTGGGGCTGGGCCCTTCTAGCCCACCCTACCTGCCCCACCTCACACCTGTGGGACTGGGGATCCCAGGGGCAGGAGCGGGGGTTCTGCGGAGGACAGTCTCTTGGCGAGGGCAGTATAAGTCTGCAGTAAATGCGGCAATGCTGCCAGAGGCTGCCGGCCCCGGATGTGAAGCCCCCTCACGGTGGTCCCGGGCACATCAAGGAGTGACGCCTCCCAGGCCACGGCGGCCGGAGTGGGGGATGGAGAACGCCAGGCACTCACCTTGCTCACAGTTCTTCCCGCCAAATTGGAGCACTCACACAGGTACATGTTCCACCTGTTGACACAGGTGCCCCCGTTCTGACAGCGCCTCCCGTCGCAGAAGTTCCTCCGGGCAGCACAGCCTGGCAACACAGAGCGTGCGGTGGAGCCTGACTCGGAGGAACCACCGGGGTCCCTTGTGCCAGGCGTGGTGTGGGAAACCGGGATGGAATGGAAATGGGGCTGGACAGTAGGCAGGCCAGGTCTGAATGCCTCTGGCAGTGGCAGGAACGACGGAACTGAGAAGGTGCTCAACACACTGCCCACATGTGGAAATGCTAGGGCTTCAGGCCATCACAGCACCCAGCCCAGTCACCTGGTGACACATGCGAGACCCTAGGACCATGTGTGCCTCAGGTTAGCTGGCTGGGCCAGCGGCGTCACACCAACTCCAAACTGCAGAGACTGCAGGGCTGCACATCTGGTGAGCCTGGACTCCCGGATCCACTCCCAGGAGCTGCCCACAGTGGGGCACACACACTCCTAAGAACAAAACGCCTCCCCGGGGAGCTGCAAGTGGTGCCTTCTGTGTGGCTTTGACGTACAGCCAGATGCCACTGCAGCAGCCCCGACGCCCCCGGTGGCCGCCCGAACCTTCTCTGGTGCCATTGTTGGCGATGAATCCAGCCATGTCCACGTTTTTGCCATCGACCGACAGGTTCTGCATGCAGCCCACGAACTGCCGGTTGTGCACCAGGAAGTCTTCTGGCAGGTTGGGGACACCCCCCAGGAGCAGAGGGTCAGTCAGATCCAGGGACCTGGGGAGGTAAAGCCGTGCTCTGTGATGTCTGGGCACAGGGGTGGTGAGGGGCGGCCATGGCGGGCTGGGCTCTGCAGTTGCCTCTGCCACCAGAACTACTTCAGAAACCAAGCAGGCAGGTGGGCAGAGGCTGGAGAGGGGGCTCCGGCGTCTGGCACCACCACTGGCTCCGCAGGCCTCTGTTGCCTCTGTTTCCTTGCATTTGTGTTCGGTCCTGACGATCTGGGTGTTTCATGCTCACTGGTGACCACGAAGTGCCGCCCACCCAGGCTGGTCCACACCCAGACAGGATGTGAGCATGGAAACCGTGGGTCAAGGTCAAGGACTCTACTTTGGCCTCTGAGACCTTCCAAGAACAGGAACAGACTTGAAGGGAGGCCAGAAGAAAATGAGAGCCCTGGTGAAACCCCAGGCAGCAGTGCGACCTCGGGCAAGGGCTGTGGCCTCTCTAAAGCAGGCTTCACATCTCAGCAAAAGGGCACCATCCCTCCTCCAACCCAGGTGGGCAGGATCAGATGAAACAGCAAGGGACTGCCCCCAGGGCCCTATCAGGTGCTCAGGATGTGTCAAGGCTCTCTATGTGATCTTCAAAAAGGCTATTCTGTGGTTATTTAGTGGCTTGTGCCTATAATCCCAGCACTTCAGGAGGCTGAGGCCAGAGAATTCCTTGAGCCCAGGAACTGGAGGCCAACCTGGGCAACATAGGGAGACTTTGTCTCTACAAAAAATTTTAAAATTTTGCTGAGTATGGTGGTGTGTGCCTGTGGTCCCAGCTACTCAGGAGGCTGTGGGGAGGAGGACGGCTTGAGCCCAGGAGGTCAAGGCTTCAGTGAGCTGGGATCGTGCCACCGCACTCCAGCCTGGGCAACAGAGCAAGACCCCATCTCCGGAAAAAAACAAACAAAAAATAAGCCTCTGGGACGAGCTGGGTGACACAGCACTTCACTTAACAGAGTCCTGGAGTCTCAGGTACCAGAATTTACAGGGACAAAGCCAGTGATCTGTGGAGACAGGGCAAGAGACCATCCATGGGTGTATAAGCCGGCCATCACAACCCTGGGGTCGGCATGGCCACTCTTGACAGATACTCAGGGGACTTAGTCTAGAAGGTTCTAACATGTCGAGAGAAGGTGCCCTAACCATGGAGAGGAAGTCTGACTCCAGCCGGGACGGAGGTCACCAGGGGACTGCACCCAGAGTGCCTGCACAGGGCCCTGCCTGGGGAAGACCACAAGGTGGACATGTTTGGGGGTGCAGACCTCCAGGGCCTCCCCTCCCGGGATGCTCACTTCTTGGAGCCGGTCTGAGTGCCCTGGGCGGCACAGCTGTAGTTCCCGATGTCACTTCCAAAGTGTACAGCCATGGTTGTGTCACAGTCATCCACCGTCACCACGGCCATCTTCTCCCCAGATGGCCCGTGGGGCAGGCCCAGGTGGCCGATGTTGGGCTGTCAGAAGAGAAAGCACAGAAGGTGTCAGCGTTTTCTCCGCTAGTGCCCTCGGCAGGTGCACCTGTCACTCACGGGGCGGGGAGGACACGGCACGGGGCGGGCAGCATGTGGATAAGGGTCAAAGAGCCCTGGCCTCACATTAGTTCCCCAAACTAGCCGTGCTGGACTGCCTGGTGCCTCCTCAAGTTTGGCCTCCCAAAAACCTCAGAACGTTCCTCGTTTGGATAAAGAGCTGGTGCCGATGGAATTAGTTAAGCTGCAGACGCCCTGGAGTAGAAGGGCCCTGATCCCAGATGACCAGCCTCCTCCTGAGAGGACAGATGCAGAGACGCAAAGGCACGCAGGGAGAAGCCGCGTGACCACGGAGGCAGCTGCTGGAGTGGCTGTCTGCAAGCCAAGGGCCACCTGGGCCACGAACAGCTAGGAAAAGGCAGGAAGGGCCCTTACCTTGAGCCTTCAGAGGGGCACAGCCCTGCCCATGCCATGACTTCCGACTTCAAAGCGCCCGACTGGGAAAGGATAGTGTCTGTTGTCTGAGCCACTCTGTCCATGGTACTTTGTGACGGTGGCCCTGGGAAATAAAGACAGCAGCTAACACCCAAGCCCTGGGGCCCCTCCTGTGAACCCTGGGGCCCCTCCTGTGGACACCTGCTTTTGCTCTTCTGGGGGTGTCCTCCTGACCACAGCACCTGCTCAGGCACCTGCTCCTCCCCTACCCTGTGCTCCTAGAGTACAGATACCAGGAGACTGCCGCCCAGCCTGCAGACGACCCCACATCTCCCCTCTGAGGTATGGAGCTCTCTGGGCCAGGAGCCTGTTCCAGGGCTGGGTACAAGAGATCTTCTAGAATCAGTGACCTCTGGTGAAGCCTCTCCCTTCTCGAAGAGACTGTGGTTTGCCATCCAGGGATGAGCCCGATTTATCCAGGCAGCCCTCATGGGTCTCGCCTCCTGGTCAGTTCCTCCCAGGACCTGGAGATTATCCACCCAGCCAGCCTCAGAGGCCCTTCCAGCAGGAAAAGCAGTGCCAGCCCTGCACGACTCATGCTGGCCACAGAACGTAAGCATGTGGGTCTCAAAGTTCCAGAAACACAGTTGAAGCCAGCTCCCACTGGGACAGGCGACACAACGCCCTTCATCTGCACAACCTGGATAGCAAGACCTCCCGTGGGTGGCCGTGACTATGAGCCAGAAGAACTCCAGGGAAGTGCCACCATGCCCACCATCGGCACACAATGTGCACCGAGCCTCCCCTCCACCCCAGAGAGAGCCTTTTCCTCCAGTCCCAGCAGGGCCCCTCCCACCACCCCTATAAAGATGGGTTCCATGACTCCTCCTGATAGTTCTGGGGTCAGTTTGAGTTTATAGCGTGATACAATCTCACGCTTCTAATAACTTGGAAATAAGTTGTTGTAAAAACATAGCATTTAGTTAAAACATCCTCAATGCCTTTTAATAGGAAAATAGCAACCACATAGGCTAATCAAAAATAAATCTTCAGTTTTTAATAGGAACAAAGTATCTATCTGATCAGGAAAACTGGGCTGAAAGGCAGGACACGGAATGGAAACAGGAGCTCAGCCAGAGGGCCAAGGTGCACGACTTCAGGGGACCCTGGCCACACAGGCAGCACCCCCTGCCTGCAGTTGTGCAGTGCACAGCCCGCACACCTGTGTGTGGCCACCCCAGCTGAGGCTTCTACTCCCCCTTATCCAATCATTTAACGTGGATGAGACTCATCACCGTACCTCGATTTCTTTCTGTGCAAGACAAGGATTTACTATCAGAACACACGTCCTCTCTGTGGTACAGGGACTTTGAGGGTGGTATCAACAGACACGTGGGTTTCCCACATACCCTTCTCGGTAAATCCAAGGGAGGCTTCTATCATGCCTGGATCACCATTTTTCTTTGACACCAGCTGATGAAATCACAATGTCTGATAAGCTGTCTCCTTAAAGATTTCACTTTTGGTTACCCAGCAGGCAGGCAAGCGCATTAAAAATCATCTCCTTGGCAGAGCATGGTGGCTCAAGCCTGTAATCCCAGCACTTTGGGAGGCCGAGGAGGGTGATCATGAGGTCAAGAGATCGAGACCATCCTAGTCAACAAGGTGAAACGCCATCTCTACTAGATTTTAAAGGTGCCATCATAACACAGGGGCCCTGTATCTGGCACCCCTCCAGTGCCTAGGGCCTACACTGAGTGATGGGGTGGGGGGCTGCCAGGACTCTTCTTTGCCCCCATGGCCAAATCCTAGAGAGTCCCCAAGATGGCCAGGCTCACAGGCACCAAAGGGGCTGGACGAGGAGGTGCTGACCCATACAAGGGGTCTCCAGTGACCCCATGTGCCATGACACCTGCAAGGTAGCTCTCATCACAGCCTTCTACAGATAAGGAGATGGGGGTGCAGAGCGGGTGACGGGCTCTCCAAACCACTGAGCAGGGCAGGGCTGGGCCAAGCCAGCCTCCTCCCTACCCAGGATCCCCGGGACCCAGAGGCTACCACTGTCTGTTGGTGTTGGTCACTACACTGCCACACTGTAAGGAGCCCTGAGCCGTCGCCACTGGCCATCCAGAGAGCAGCCCAGTCCTATGGCAGTCGTCTCAGTGGTGGAGAGAGGCCAGAGGACATCTGGAAAAGTCTGAAACATTTTGGGTCATCTCAACTGGGCAGTGGATGCTACTGGCCCCCATTACATAGCAGGTAAAGGCCAGGATGCTGCTCTGTACCCAGCAGGGCCCAGGATGTCCTATCATAGAGGCCTGCCCATCCTGAACATCGGCAGTGCCAGGGGTACAGGGGGAGATCCTGCTCTCAGTGAAGGTGAGTGGTGAGTACAGCAGTGAGGCAGTGGGGTCTGTGGAATCCTGAGGAGGGCTGGCCTCAGGGAGCTGGGAGGAGGGGTCTGACAAAGGGACAGCTGGGAGGTCTGCAGGGTAACGTGGGCAGCAGGGCAGTACCCATGCACAAGGCAGGGGCTTGGTCCAGGGACCCAGGATGCAGGCAGGTGCTTCTCAAAGACATCATGGTGCATCCAGCTAGGAACAAAAGACGTAAAGTGCCCTCCCCTGCTCTACTCACAGGGTGCAGGTGACAGGGCTGGGGACTTCATGCCACATCTGGCCATAAGGCTGGAGGCCGTGCAGGGGCAACGGACCTTGTCCCTTTCCAGGGCAGGAGGCAAGAAGATGCTCAGAAGGCTGGCTCTAAAACCAGTGAGCTGGGCTAGCTCTGATCCCTCTGCATCCAGCAGATGAGGAGGGCCACGTGGAACCCTCCACATTAATCTCTGACTCATTTTGGTGACGCCATAACAGCTAAGGTCTTCAATGGGAAATAAAGAAATGACTTTTTAAAAATGAGGGATCCAGGCTCAGGCATTTTCAGGAAAGAAAAACATCTCGTTGCTCAGCTCATGCCACGGAGGCTGGAGGGCACTCCCTTCCCAGGGTATCCCCCTTGGAGGTAATTAAAGTGAGCCAGACACACAAACAGTCCTTCAGGGCCCCATTGTCCCCAGACAAAGGGACCACTCTTCGGTGTAAGGGCCCCGCAAGGTGCCCCCTTGGCTCAGGGAGGGCCCATTGCCATGACAACCCCTGCCAACAGGAGAGGTGCTGTGGTCACCACTGTGGGGATGAGAGCCGTCTCCATCTCGGCTCACACGTGGCCCCGGAAAAGTCAGAGCAGAGCGGGAGAAAAAGTAGCCTCAAAGGAAAAGGCCCTGGGCTTGGGTTTGGGGGTGTCTTCCTTTCTTCTTTATGTCTTTTGGTACGGCCGAAATTTTCTAGAGTGGGCGTGCTTCTCTTTGTGAACAAACCAAAAATGTTCCTATTCTGAAAAGCAACTTGCAGCATTCCTAATAAAGCTGTAAAAATTCAAAACCACAGAGTGCTGGCCAAGCACGGCGGCTCACGCCTGGAATCCTAGCACTTTGGGAGGCCAGGCAGGGGATCACCTGAGGTCAGGAGTTCGAGACCAGCCTGGCCATCACGGCGAAACCCCATCTCTACTAAAAATACAAAAAATAGCCAGGCATGGTGGCACGTGCCTGTGGTCCCAGCTATTCGGGAGGCTGAGGCAGAAGAATCAACTTGAACCCAGGAGGCAGAGGTTGCAGTGAGCTGAGATTGCGCCACTGCACTCCAGCCTGGCAATAGAGCAAGACTCCGTCTCAAAAAATATATATATACTAAAATTAGCTGGGCATGGTGATGAGCACGTGTAATCCCAGCTACTCAGGAGGCTGAGGCAGGAGAATCACTTGAACCCACGAGGCAGAGGTTGCAGTGAGCTGAGATCGCACCACCACGCTTCAGCCTGGGCAACAGAGACTCCGTCTTAAAACACACACACAAACACACACACACACATCACACACCACACACACACACCACACCACACACACACACCCCACACACAAACACATACCACACACACACCACACCTACACACACACCACATACACAACCAGACACACACACCACACCACACATACACACACACCACACACACCCACACATACCACACCACACACACACCACACCACACACACCACATACACAAACCACACACACACCACACCACACACACCACACCACACATACACCACACACACACACCACACCACATACACACACCACACACACACCACACACACCACACACACACCACACACACACCACACCACACATACACCACACACACCACACACACCACACCACATACACACACACCACACACACCACACACACCACACACACACACCACACACACACCACACACACACCACATACACACACCACACACACACCACACACACCACACCACATACACCACACACACCACACCACACACCACACCACATACACACACCACACACTCCACACCACACACACACACCACATACACACACCACACCACACACACACACCACACACACACCACACACACACATCACACAAACCACACACACCACACACACACCACACCAC